AGTAGCGTCCTTGTTCCTAGTAGCGATGCCAGGAGCCCCTAGTAGCGTCCTTGCTCCTAGTAGTACGGCCAGGAGCCCCTAGTAGCGTCCTTGCTCCTAAAGGAGTGGGAATTGAGGAACGCATTGATTGCTCAGATTGAAAAACAGAAAATTGACAACGCAACCGAGCGTCCTTCATCTCCACCCACGCACTCAGTCACCTGATTCATCGCATGGCATAAACAAGTGTGTCTCTCCTGTCTTCATGGTTCGTCAGCGTTTAATTGTTCTTTATCCGCCATGGTCAAAGAGGATCGGTCAGGCCAAAGATCATGGTGCTTCGTTTCTTTTGCTACCAAATGCTACCTGCAATAGACGTTATATATTTATATATATATATTATGTTTTTCTCACCTTAAATGTTCCGTCTAAATCCCAAGTCAATGGGCTGGGTTCCCCATGTTGGCTTCCTATGTTGCGTCCCTGAGCTTCCGACGTAGCGTGGGTCGATGGTCCCTTTGAAGGTCGAAAAGCTCACGGCACTCACCGGATCACGCGTCGCCACTCTCACACCAGACATGTAGTAAGAAAGCCACCCCGAGTCCGGTCCATCACCATCGGCCTTCTTATAGCCTTGCAAGCGAACAATGGACGGGGATGAACAACCTTTGTCGCGATGCGCGCGCGATCATGCGAGTTAGGGGTGAAGGTACTATTGCCCATCCTTGCGGCAACCACGGACGTTTAACAAGTTCAACCCATGTGCCAATTTGGTTCTTCCAATCGCATTCGTGACTTGTTCATAAGCTGTAGCCCGAAAACCTCACACAAGTGGTGTGGTGTGCGTGGGTGCGTGGGTGTGCACAGAGCATGGGCATCCAACTACACTCTACACGAGAAGATTGCTCTTACCTTGGGCAAGGCGAAGACAATTACGAAGACAACGAAGACGATCTGCAAATATGTGTCAACTGAATCTTTCTCCCTCTCGCCCTCCCTGTTTTGTTGGCTTATCTTTGGTCTGGCGCTTCGGCACAGCATGACACTCTGATGAAGCGGAGTTGTGACCATCTGCCACCAAGACTCCAAGGACCCTACGTTGCACGTGCTTTCAGTGGCAGCGTGGCTTTGATCCTGATAAAATCCATGTGAGCTCCTATTTAGGCTTCGACTATGGAGTGGATTGTGAGAGACTGGAAATGGAAGAAGGAACACACACACACACACGTGTCGATATCTAAATATATCTATACCCATACCCATACCCCTATACCTATACCTATCTGTATATATATAATTATATATATATATCATTCCATATCTAGTCTATATCTATCTGCTCCGTTGTGCCACAAAAAGTGCGTGTGCCATCCCTACAAAAAACTTCTGCCCAGAAGCGGATCCAAGATCCAATCCTCTGCACTTCGTGAAAGTGAGCTCCTTCCGCCAACACTCCCAGCTTTTTCGATCGCCTCTTGTCGGAATAGACGGGGATGCCAGCGCTGGTGGCCACCACCCATCTTACCGCCACACCATACTTGTGCGTGAACATGAAGAATTCCTTGCAGCCTGTCAAGTGGTGCCAGGCCACCCACTGGTAACCACCACTCAGCTGGGAGTAGCTGCCATAGAGCTTTGCAAAGGCCTTCTCAAGAATCGGCCAGCACAGCTTACCTCAGGGAGCTGTTGATTCTTTCAAAATGTTTAAGCCCTAGCCCTATTCCTCATACACTTTTTCGAGGAGAAAAGCTTTGGTGCACCCAACCAATTCGCGCAAGATGTCAGGAGTGTCTTTCCTCGCTTGTTTGTGATTCATTTGCTCCAAATTTGGAAACTGTTCAAAACCTAAAGCAAGCTTGCATTGAATACCTCTTCTTATCCCAACATCCCGACAAGGGGGAGACACTGTTCATTGAGCCTGGTTGGTTCACCCCGCACCTTCACTAATCTTCCCGAAGAGGAGTGATGGAGTGTCTCCACCCCAGGATGTGCAAGGCAAATAATCATCCACTTCAATGCCCACCCAGCTGAACTTTCGCCCATCATAGAGTTTCACGATATACTTTCCCTCCTTGGAGACCTCAACAAGCCATCTGAACCGCAAGAGCCTTCACCTCAAGAGACCTAACATAGGTAAACGACCTGGAACATCAGTCCAAACACGTCAACCGTTGAAGTAGTCAACCATGTCACCTTTTTGGTGATGACGATTCCAATTCGATTGAATTCTTGTTTTTAATAGCTTCTTGCTCCTAGTAGTAAGGCCAGGAACCCCTAGTAGCGTCTTTGCTCCTAGTAGCGATGCCAGGAGCCCCTAGTAGCGTCCTTGCTCCTATCTTAAAAACCCTGGTCACCTTTTTGGTGATGAAGACGCTGCCCTTGAGGTACTTGGGGAACTCGGCGACTGCAGAGATCGCTGCGACCAGCCAACAGTTGCCTCGGCAGCATTGAACATGAGGCATCCCGCAAAAATTACAAGTCCTGGAAAACTGTGCTTCAAAAGACAAAAGCTGGGAGCACCATTGCAAGCACTTTCACAGCTGTGTCTGAGGTCTTTGAGATCAAAGGCATCTTGGACACTTCGGGGATTGGTCGTTTGGTGGCTTGTTGGATGGGTTTCTCAGTCTCTTGTCAAAAGCCATCTACTATCCTGCGAGTCTGGACACAAGTCAAAACGGTGTTCTGTGTTTCTAGCCTTGATGTCATTCACCATAAAAGTTGTCGAACATAAGCTTTCCTCTTCTGAACCTTCCTCTTACTTTAGCTTTCACGGCGCACTTCGCAGGTCCCAAGCCAACAAGACGAAGCAGACTAAGCGATGATAAAGGTGCCGGGCAGTGGCTGGTGTCTCTCATGCAGTCGCGCACTTCGCGGGTGAGACGGCGCAAGACCAAGGCCAACAAAACGACCCTGATCAAGAAGGAAAGGTACAGTACATTAAATTATCTTATGCAAAAACCTGAGCTTCCCATTCTTACCCTCCTTTTTCCCTTCTTCATTCCTCTTCCTCCTTCCTGCCTGCTGGCCCACAGTGTGGCATAAGCCGTTAAATCAGAACTATGAGAGGTTCATTCTGGTTTCGTCCAAGGTATTTAGGTCCATGGGCGACGAAAAAAAACAAAAAAAAACTCCCACAACGCATGCCAGGTGGCCGACTCGCCCTTGGCAAACATCTGACGGTGCCACATCGGCGAAGAGCACGGGAGCAGGATGCAATGCCAAGGCTCGGTGCCATGCGGCAGAACCCATATCTGAGCGGCGTGGTTTTGAATGGAAAAGAAGTTGATGGTAGGTTTAAGATCCCCTGTGCAAAATCTTAACTCGATGTTTCACCTGGAGATCATGCAGTTGCCTTAATGTGCTTATGGGTTTCTTAGTGGAAACCGCCTCTAAAGATTCAAAAAGGTAAGAATATCCAAGTACTGAAACAACATTATCCAGATTGGAAATACATCAAATCATCTCTTCTGTCTTCAAACTCCCGATGCCCCTTGAAATCAATGATATTGCTTAAGGTAAAAAGGGATATTGCCATCGGAGTACAGGGATGCCACGAAAGCCTACATCCAATTGAAAGGAGATCTCTGGTTTGCTGTATCTATCTGAATCTGCATAATGCACAGGCCGAACCAACCAGTGACTTCATGGGGGGATGTCTTTTTCCATGTATGATCCAACGAGTCAAAGCCAAGAAGCTCTTGGAGGCCTTGGTTCCAATGGAGGCTTTGTTGTGTTCGAACTCGGGGTCGTGCCATCCCTCTGGAATGCTGCGATTCAGCTTCAAGCCTGGCAGTTCCAGGAAGTGTCTCTTCTTCTCGCATTTTTAGTTCAGCAGCTTCGTGGGAGGATGTGGTTCGGGACCATAGTATGACTATAGTAGGTATCACATTCCTGGTACAGTAATTCCTTTGATTTTGTTGACTATGGTGTTCCGATAGCCATGGGGCAAACTCGCCATCCCATACAGCTGCAAGGCCGTGTTTTGGCTCCATGCGACAGGAATTCGCAGGTTGTACCTTCTTCTAGGCTTGAACAGTCGTCCTCAGACATCCTGTTTTTGGATGCTCTGTGGATTGTGGGTGCACCTATACCAAAACTTGAGAGTGCATCAACAACTTCTGACGGCCAAGTCTGTGTTAAAATGAACAGTTTACGACTTCATGGTTCCCAAACACCAGGCTAATCTTCGCATGGCCAAGACATTCTGATCTTCAAGTTGCTCGAAAGAGCCTCCAGCTTTATTGGGCTCGATCCCAAAACATTGGTTCTGGCAAATTGATGGTCTTTCAAGCCACCGACAAAAACGACGGAATCCCTAAAAAAGAAGCTTGAAATGCGGTTTGAGCCAGTAAAAATGCGAAGCACTGCAGAACAGAGGTGAGTGAAGCCAAAAGTGCTGAGCATGGAGCCGTTTTTTGCTTTTTATCATGCTTATATATATATATATAGTTAGTTATTATATAGCATAATATGGCCAGCCAAATATATAGCTTCAACCAGTTTCAAGCGCCAAGCGCAGCGCAACACTGCCCCCGCCTTTGTGCACAGTATTAGGCAACCCATCCGTGTCCACAGCGATGACGTCAATGCGCCCGCCGAACATCTCGTCCATCCAAATCGCGAGCTCTGGGGAGGGCACATCGGTGACCCTCAAGGCTCGCGCTGTCACTCAAATGCAGTCACACAGCGTCGCTAGACTAGGTGAGTGGTTTGTTTAGCCACCCTGAAATTAGTGGTTGAGTGTTTTAGGTGACCTAATCGCTTTGAGTGTCAGGCTGAGTTCCTGCTGTTTTCAGCAAAATCACCACCCCACCCCCCTTCAAGGTGTCTGCTGGGATGAACGGACACTGCGACTGGCTGAAAACTCATGAACTTAACGTACTTAACCCAAAGGCTTGCAAATTTCATTTTGACTTAGACTGAAATGATGTGATATTCAGCTCAGTGTCCTGGAGACGTTCAAGGAGGGCTCGCCGATCTTGGGCTCCGTGCCACGCTTCCAACGAGTCTCAGGGCCCTCATAGAAGAGGTACATATCGGCCCAATCCTCTCCTTGGGAAGCAAACCCGTGGATGGAACAAAATGGAACAAACTGAGTGCTCTACTCGATCCTGGAGTGGAAAGCCGAGACTGCTGAGTGAACGGAGCCAAGAATAAACTCCATGAGGACACCATGGTGAGCAAGATCAATCGATGATTTTCCAGAAGACCACTTCAAATGCCCAACCCAATGAAGATAGGTGTTCTCCATCGGTTGTGGCCAGCGTTAAGTTCGGAAACTAAAACGCTGGGTTCGGAAACTCCGGTTGGGAAACTAGCAACGTCCTCTTCACACTGCGTTAAACAGTTGTGCTCACATGAATGTCACGTCAATGCCACACCACGCACACCACAACACCCCCGACCCCCTGCATCCGCTGAACCCGACAAAACAGTTTCTGAACCGTTTCCAAACCAGTGCCAGTTTCTAAGCTTTACTTGTTCCATTGGGTTGGCACTGATCGAAACCCGGCCAGCCCCATTGTGGTTAGGATTGAGGAGTTCCCGGCCTTCGATGGCCCTGCCAATGACCCAACGTTCTGAAGTCAATTGAGAGAGCATTGTGGAGGAGTCTGTACTAAAGAACTTCAAACAACCCTCATCCGAGTGAAGAAAACGGAATTCGTTGGAGTAAGACGTTTGTGCAACACTATGCTCAAACCGACAATATCCCTCAAACGAAAGCGGAAGACCTAGCAACAATAGTACCTTGGGACAAACAAACATCGGAGCAAAAGGAGGTTGAAAAGGCTGGTGCCCCCAAAAAAAAGAAATTGCAACGCTTTTGAAGCAAAAACCGGCTGAATTTGCAGAATTGTGTGGAATCCTACGGAGTTCGCAGAATTTGGGAACTTAGTTGTCTTGAACTTTTTGAGAAATATTGTTGACGTCCCTGTGGCAACTCCCAAAATGGGGACCAAGGTGCCAAGGTTTGTAGTTTTCTATGAACTGGTTTGAGGGATGCCCATGTTCCTTCACTGGGCTTTAATGTATGGTAAATTGGACTGCACGACACACATCAAGCATTCCAAGGCATATCTGCCTATCTACCATATCACAGCTATCAGGAAGACGCCACAATACAGCACCCGTCACTTGGGACACTAGAAGCAGCAAAGATTCAATTGATCCATCCAAACGATAGTCTTTGACTCTTGAAGCCTTTCTGGACTTTCCTTCTGGATTTGATACACAGACACAGAGCCGTGCAATGGTGTTTCTTGCCAAACGCTGCCACGTCTCCCTTCTTTTGGCGGTAAACTGCACGATCGCCTAAGACTTGGCCATCTACCTGGCCGCTGAAACGTGAGGAACAATGAAACTTTGAAAAAATCCAAACAAATTCAAGCGGGGCCAACAATCACAATAGAGCCCTTAATCAGATCGCGTGGAATTTGGTGACATCTGCCCTTAGTTTCTACCAACATAGACTAACAATATGGAAGAACCTTGCACAAACCCAGGCCTTCTTGAAGTAGATCTCGTCGAATTTCACGCAATCCTCTGCCTTCCGCAGTAGCTCCTCGAGAACTGGCGTTTTCGTTTTCAGGATGACCGGAGGTTTTGACTTTTGGACATGTGTTTCTCAATTGCACCACTGGAAAAGATTTCGAGCACCCCAAACCAAAAACATGCCTACAGAAACTTGATTACATGTTCAGGACCTCTTAGATGTCTCGGTATGTGAGCTACAGCGAATTTGCAGAGTTCACGCGGCACCGCCACTGATGCTCCTCCGCGCTCGGCTTCTTCCCAACATCTGCCACGACTGTCATCGAAGGCTCTCGCAGAAACGTTTTCTTTCCGCCTGATCCCGATGTAGATAGCGGTAGAATACGGAACATATCAACAACAAGAAACACTTAGCGTGACCATGAAAGCATCATGTTTTATCCGTGCTCAGGTTTCCGCAGGCCTAATCCTGGACGACCGCAACACGTCGGAGAAATGAAAAGAATACTACACGACAGGGTGGCCCGATAGCATCGAAGGAGCAAGAGACCGAGAAAGAATCCAACAAAAAATGCAAGAAATGTAAAAAACAGTTATATAATAGTATAATAGAGAATGTTGAATAGTAATGTCACGGTGTGATGTGTGATAGCAAGCTGTGCTGTGTCATGTTGTTGTCATGCAGCAGGATGATACTGATGATGACTACTACGGCCACACCGCGTGCCACACATATACGAACTCGCTAAATAGACTTAGACGCAACTATGTGACACCAAGCCTCGTTGACCAGCAACATGCGTTTACGGACGAACGCTTCCCGTTCGCCAATGGCAGGAAGCTACGCAAACGCACTTCCCACGGAGGCTTCAACAAACCACATGGCACAGCAACATCACAAAAGTATTGTAATCTCGCCACACCGTGCGCCGTGCGACAACATGTCTTGAGCCGCAGTTCTGAAATGACAGCAGTCACTCTGCACATCACATTCGCACTGGTTACCACGCCGCCAGTTCTGTGCCCAAAGCTCCCGCTCACTGGGAGCACTACACTTGGACTACAACTCCGCCAGTTCTGAGCTCAGTTTGTACCGCAACAAAACCAGCTTCAACGACAATTTCACACTTTGGCGACCCCACCCCGCTATTTTCGACGATGCTTTCACGCTTTGGATCATGTCGGCAGCGCGATCAGATTTGACGACGACTCCACCCTTCAGCGTCACGAGAGCCAATTTTCATCGACACTTTCACACTTCAGCCTCCCAGACCTGCGTTTCCAACAACAGTTGCCCAACAGCCAATTTTCAGCAACAATATCACATAGTCTCACTCTTTTCGCATCCGACACGCATGATTCCTGTATAGAGGAACGTGGCCGCAACAATTTTGCTCAGTTTCGCAAAGGATTCCTGTAGGAAAGCGGCCGCACCAATTTTGCTAGCAGTTTCGCACATCCGACACGCATGATTCCTGTAGAGGAACGCGGGCACAACAATTTTGCTCAGTTTCGCACATCCGACGCGCAGGATTCCTGTAGGAAAGCGGCCGCAACAATTTTGCCTGTTATCAAATACCAGTTTCGCACATACGACACGCACGATTCTGTAGAGGAATACGGGCACAACAAAGGAGCGCGGGTTTCGCAAATCCGATGAAATCCCAGCCATTGATCAAATCAAACCGACACATTTCACGCCCACGCCAAGCCAAAACACCGCCCAAATTGCCACTGCCACTGTAGAGTAGCTCCCAGCTGTGCAACTGGCCACGAGTGCTTGATCAACCATTCGTCGTTGTTGGGCTAGAGCATATTGTTACAATATTGTTGTTGTGTCCGGATGGTCTTCAGCAGTTTGAGGCCAAAGGACGGTAGATGGCTGAGGGATCTTCGTCATAGTTCATGTTCTGGCCGGAGACATCAACAATGTCCTCGTCCTCTTCCATATCAGTTCATCGGCTTCACGACCAGTGGCGGAAAGGTAAGTTTGGAGATCAACCGCCCCCTCATTGGTGCTCTCTACCTTCTCCATGTTTTCGTCCGTCATCAGGTCAAAGCAACTGGTTAAGTTGAGGCACCATTGGTGACCTAGAGGCACCACATACTCCCCTCGATTTCCTCGAGCGGCTTCTTTCCGCGATCATCCTTGATGGAAAGAGAATCTCGTTGATGTTTGATCCAGATGCCAAAAGAAGACAGGATGGGTCTTCCCAAGAGAGGGGAGTGCGACCCGCGGCGACAAAGACCTGAAATCGTCCCATAGGTTAGTTATATAACGTTGATGATGGTGGGTAGGTGGACCGGCCAGTCAGCAATGGCATCCTCGCAATTGGAGGATCTTGTGGGCAGGTCGGAAGCGTACATCTTCCATCAGCGCGTGCTTGGTCTGGAGGAAGGTGATGATAGACATCAGATTGACATGACCGATGACCACACTCCTACCACTTGTGCCAAGCATCCCGTAGATTCCATCTTTGGTCTTTGGAGTGGTCACCATCTGCTATGGGCACTGAGATGCCCAATGAGCTTGTTGCCCACATCGAAGACAAGTCAATCCATATCCAGAGGCTTGCGCGCGGCTTGGCGGTGATTTGGACGGATGCTTGCACTTCCTTTTTCCTTTTCCTTGGCCCTTGACTCGGCCTTTTCCTTTTGAGGTGGGGCTCGAGGACGGTGAAGATCCGGTAGCCGACATGGGATTCGACATAGTAGTCTTCAAATCTGCAAGTTGTTTCCGAGCATCCAGGTAAGTGGAGAAGGCCAGAAGGCCTGTTCAATGTTTTCATCCCAACCTTCTTCAGCACAGGCCACGTCGTCTTTCTCCAAGGACGGGTATGATATGATGTGTCCTTCTAGGTGAAGGCGTCCTCAGCGTCTTCATCGTCAGGGAAGTGCCACTGACGAGGACAGCCTCATTGACATCCCAGGTGGCGGCTTATAGGCATTCAATTCTCTTTGTCCTCAAACTCATCCATCACGTACAGGTTCATGGTCGCCTCTTTGCTTTTACCCTGGCTGGACATCTTCTTTCCATAAAGCAACACCCAGGCCCTCCATTACGATCGAGGAGGTCTTGCTGTCAAGCAAGGGAATGAAGTTGTCCCGAGTCACTTCCAGGGAGCCAGATCCAGATGCTTGGGATCTGGTGCTAGCAGTTGCCATTCTCAACTTTCAAAATCTATGCGTAGGCGAAGGACGACACCCACTTGGAACTGAGTGAAGTAGCTAACTCTAAGGACACAGCTCTCGATTTCTGCGCTCTCACTATTTCTTCCGCGGGCTTCGAGCGGAGCTCATCGCTCCGTTCACATAGCCATTGGCTTTGGAACCGCCGCCGGCCCTTGAGGTGGAAACTGATTTTGGGCCATGTGGCCGCAGAGGTAAAACACAATTTAGACTAGTGTTTGTGGCGACAACTTCACAACATGTATATATCTCTGCACTTTGACGATACTGCCGTGATAATGAGGTTGATGATGAAGATGCTTGATGACTGCACGTTGTTGGTAACGTTGTTGATATGGGGAACGGAAAGGCAGATGGAGTTGACAGCAGTTCTTTATAAAGAACCCTTCGCAGGAACTTTCTCAAAAAAACGATAAAACAAAACATGAAAAAGTTTCATCTGGAAAGACCAAGAGACTATCCTTCTTGGCCTTCCACACGGCCCATGTCATCCCTTCTCCCGGCACTGTGACGCTACGCGTGGTCTTTAAGCGACAGGAGGCTTTGCTGCCTGTCCTCCCAAAGATCTGCCACTGTTCCCTCAGTGACTCACGGCTGAAAGAGAGAAATAGAGAGAGAGAGGGGAAACTAATTATGCATGGCGCCAGTTTGGTTCCACCAACCTCTTTCAGCAGATTCAGGTAGTTTCGGAGGGCTATGACACTCCAGAAAAGAAGGCAGCAGAATAGTCTGCCTGGCGGTTCTTTGGGGTGTTCGCCTTTGACGCTTTTGGCCCCAGGCGCCTCTTCCCGTGGTAGAAGAGGTATTTCTCCTGCTCGGCACAAAAGAAGATCGGCCTGCGGTAGTAAAACTCTCCTTCTTGTTGCACGTAATCTCCGTTGAACTCCTCCCGCGAGCAGCCTCCAGGATGTGAACACATAAAAAAAAAAGATTACATAACGGGCCTAGCCAATTGGGTTGTCGATGCTCATCTGCACTTGGAAGTCAGGAAAACAACTTGGCACTGGGGGATGAGAGATAAAGAGGAGTAATGGAAGCTCATCTGTACGACCACATCCAGTAGTTTAGCCCTTCCGACTGACCCCGGTCCGAACTGGGATGGTCTTGGAGAAGTTGCGCCTGAGACCTTGATGGTATAGGTGCCCTTGACGGTCTCAGAGATCTCCTGATCTGTGGCGAAGACCCACTTCACAAACTCCTCTGTCGCCAGGCACGCAAGGCCCAAAGGCAGATCAGGTCGAAACAGTAGCTACTAGCTACTTGTTACTACTAGCTACTTGCTACTAATAGTAAGGCCAGGAGCCCCTAGTAGCGTCCTTGCTCCTAGTAGTGACCCAAATGTTCGTTTGATATCTAGCTTGAATCCGAAGCCACTGACATGTTGGACTCACCCTCTTCGCAAAGGACAAGGCTTGCAGCTTGACGTTTCCTGTTTTACAATATCAACACAGTGCGGCTGATGCCTTGCTGAGCTCGGGAAGCTCTATCGTAAGTTCCACTGTTGCTGATGAACAAGCTCCGGATCAACAGACTGCGATACCCGACCTCCACTTGCAATTCGCCATCGCCGCTGGCGTCCGCCGCAGTCAGCAAGGCGTCAATCTGATCGTCCTCCCATGGCTCCTCTTGGAGAGACTTCAGGACCTGAAGGAGGGAACGACCAAGGTGGATCAATGATAAGAATTGAAAATAACAATCCGGTCCTAGCTTCCGTTCTCTAGATGAGGGAAATTAGAGCACTCCACTGTGCCACTGCCGCAAAATCGGAACCCTTCTCTGTCCATCTCCCACTCTCTATCCTTCTCCCGCCTCCCCAAGCTCATCTCGGCTGATAGCACCGGAGCCATCTGAGTCAAACTTGTGAAAAACCTCCAAGACTGACTTATCCATGGCGAGAAGCGGCACCCGGAAGGATGAGACCACGTGGACCACAGTGGCTCCAGAAGAAAGATGTAAAAGAGCGACTTGCTGAATTCACGCGAATTCACTCAAGACAGCTATATAATGAACATTCTAAATACTTCAACAATGTTCACTGGTTTGCGTGTCGAAGTTGTCATCAGAAGATGCGGATGGTGTTCAACTATTGGAATCCAGTTCTGGGTTGGACAATGGGACCGTACCTCCATAGTGGAAGCGTTCGGTCTGAAATCGTGACCCCCTTTTGCTGCCACCTACACAAAATTCATCAAAATTCCATTATCCAGATCTCAATCAATGATCCATGCCCCTGTGCTATCCTCAGCCCCGGCAGTGATGAAACTTCCCGTGCGACGAGTTTGAAGTCTCAGTACCAGATACAGTATGTGCGTGTGTGTGTGTGTGTGTGTCATACAAATAAAAAGGACACCTGCCCGCATTCTGGCAAGCCGAAAAATGATCCCAAAATAGACTTCCGTAATTCCACATGAGCCACTAAAGCAACTAGGTTGCCCATCAGACCATTTCAGGCCGCCTCAATCGATGAAAAGCATGGCACGCTGTTCGGCCGACAGCCCTGGCCACGCGTAGAAGCGGTGGTGTGGGCGAAGTCAACAAACCAACGGCAGGGTTTCCTAGGCCCAAAACCTTCATTCGGGAAGCTGTTGTGTCATCACCCAAACTGCAAATATTACCCAGACTGCCTATATTAAGATCGTGGGAGTTTGCCCTAGCTGACAAGAAACAACCTGGCAAGGGTGGTACCACCACGGCAAAAGCATGCCCATCATGCACCATCTAAAAACGGCCGGCAAATGGCTGGCTCTTGTGGTCAATCCACCCAATAACATTTGTGGTGAACAACCTCACTGCCTTTTGTTCATTCCACTCAAGCCTTGCAAAAGCTGCAGAAAGTTACTTGAAGGATCCGTCTGATGCTGGCTTGATCAATAGCAAAGAATAAAAATATAAGCTTGAAACCTTCATGTTGATGGTCCATCATCCTCATTAACTTATATAAAGATCTCAAGCAAAGGTCTCCTCAAAGAAATCTGGTGCTCTACTTCAGCTCACTGATTTTGGTTGATCCTTCAGAACCTCTGGCACTCCATGAATACCAAGCCTATCAAACCTTTTCCATGTCCTTAACAGGCTCCCCTCCAAAGAACTCCGTGGTATGAAATCTTCCTGCGAAGGTCCTTCCAGAAGGCCCCACAGATTCTCTGTGTCACAAAGGTTCATCTGACTCTTGGTCGAGCATTTTGCCTGAGCTGGGATGCTCATGAAATCTCTGCACTGTGGCCTCAACTGTACAGAATGAGAGCCTCTTGAGGAAAATTCGTCAGGAGCCTTGAGCACTCTGCCACAATTCAGCTGCTGGAGTTTCTGGCACCTATATATATATATACAGTACACAGAAGCCTTTCTAATACTAAAGACTCTACATCCTGTGGTGATTGGTTCTGTTCATAACATAGGGGTGAGAATATGTGAGCGTGTACAACAAGAATCGGATGTCTTTGGACCTGATGTCATCGCAAGTTGCTCGGGCGATGTTTGTTCCTAGTAGCAGTCTTGTTCCTAGTAGTAAGGCCAGGAGCTCCTAGTAGCGTCCTTGCTCCTAGTAGCGATGCCCTTTGTTACTAGTAGCGATGCCCTTTGTGAGAAAGGAGATACTCACATGCTCTTTGGATGCGGCATCAACTCGTGCTCAGCTTTCTGCTGGGCTGACGATTCAATTGAAACGAAACTGAATCGAAGGGAATCGCTCGGAACTGGAATGCATGAGGGATTGCGAGTGCAGTCTGCCTGCAAAACTGGGCAGAGCGGATCATGTCTCAAAAGCAGTACAGTAGTTTGTATTTAAGAAACACTGACGATGCCACTGTTGTTATAAGAGGATACAAGAGGTCCAAAAGTCTTGCCATTGCTGTGGTGTTCCGTGAAAGCCCTTGGTCGGATTAGACTCAGACCCTCCTGTTGAAAACTCTGCGGAATGGAAGAACCCGATAAACCTATCAAGGGGTCACCAACCACATGACCAGGAAGGTGTGGAAAATGTTATATAAAATGGACGATTCTCCTTTAGATCGGATGATATAAATCGGTAGTTGCTCAGTTTCTGCAGTCTCTGGGGTATCCACTGCCTAGTTTTGACTCAGGTTGTTCACCGGATCACTAACCCAAAACAATTGAGAATCGGGATATTCGGGTTAAAGTTGTACCATCCAATTGAACTCCGGACATTCCAGGGATCCCACATAAAGTCGCAGTTCCAGCCCCAAGCCCTTGCCAACGAGTGGGAAGCTTCGATGTACGGTTCTGTAATACTCAATGAAGCCAATACGACACGACTTTGGATAAGTTCAAACCCTATACAGTATCTCACTTGTGGATCCTCACATCTTCTGTGGTCTGTGGCTGCGGGGGTTGGCTCGGATTGTACCAGAAATTGGTGTTCGTGTCTCTATTGTCCAATGTCAATCAACCATCCACCGCGGTGTGCAACTTTGACCCGTATGTGCCACATGAGTGTGGCAAAAATCGATGAAGACACCCACTAGCGGGGCTCAACATGTTTCACCCACCAAGCACATATGAGACATTGTTTCGTCACATGATCTCACAGAGTTCTAGCTTGGAATGCTACATGCATTGCCCGGCTAAATCGCAAATGGACGTACAGTCCATGTGTGTGTACCCCTTGTAATCACAGGGATTCCGTTGAATTGTTTTTCTTTTTAGCAGGGGGGCAGTGGACCACTATCACTCACTGCCCAACGAAGACAGTGATAGATCGGTCGTGAAGCAATGCGGGACGCCGCATTGTGTACCTGCTTGATTTTTTAACATTTGCTGAGTTGCGCTTGACCTTCTGCAGACATGCACGGCACGCCGTCGCTTCGACCTGATCGCCGACCTCGTTCTTACGCTTTGGGCCACCTTTCCTTTTGAAGACCCCCAGGATTCGATGGCTTCCTACTGATACTCTTAGGAAATGGAACCCTAGGCTGGCGTGTGGCACCGCTATCAGTTCAGTACACCCTATCCTAAGTGTGTGTGTGTGTGTGCGCGTGTGTGCACACCTTAGAGTCACAGGTTGCTTTTTGGCAGTATTTTCTTACCGTTTTATTTAGTCTTGCAGCAGGGGGGGCCATGGGCACTTGGATGGCATGGGCCAACGAAGACCCATCCAAGCTGCCGTGTAAACGTACCTGCTTTGGTTCAACTTTTGATTGGTTGCTGTGGTCCCCTAGTTTGTTTCACGGTGGTTCATGTACCTGAAGTTGCTTCGTTCCAACTTGTTTGAGTGCCTGAAACTCTAAGTAAGGCTCAAGCTGTCTTAAGCGTTGCTTCAATGTAACGTTCTTCTTGGCCACCTGTTTTACTCGGGTAATTTTCACTAGGCAGCGGGCAAGTGGCATTCCGATCAAACGAACCATATCTTGAGAACCTTTAAAGCTGGTGATCTCCCCACTCGGATCTTGGCCAAATCTATTCCGTTGCGGCATGGGTAGACAGGGGCCTCCATGGTAACAGCAAATAGACCTGAACGTGATTGTTACTGCAATAATATGCAATCATTAGATGTAATTCGCATGGAAGGATTGTATGTTGGCAAGCTGAAGAACATGCCGCCATTCTCAACGGTCTGGTCCCCAACTTCCAGAGTGACCGACACGGTCGGAACTATGCCGATGATGTCGCCATTTCCGGGTGAAAGCAGTCAAGAGTCCACAGCGGAACAAGAGTGACAGCGCGAAATGAAAGATTACATAATGTAATCACACGCCAATTTTGTCCTGTCAAACGAAGCAGAAAAAATGATCAAATATGAAGCAGTGCTTTTTGGAACGTTTTTCCGACACATGGCCCTTCCACTTCTGGAACGAAAAGACTGTTTTCTGACCTGCGAGAATTGAGGCTCCAGGTTGCGGAAGCGTCTAAACCGAGTCCATCACCTATCGGCCGCCCAGGCCCACCGATCGGACAACACAAAAGAGGGGCAAACTCTTTAGCTGAGCCCCTCCTGGTAGGGAGGGGGAAGCGGGCAAAGAAAAAGGAGAAAGAAACAAGAAACACAACAGGTCCTAAACGACATGAGTGACATGAGCCAAGCTCGGAAAGAGGGGGCACGAGCTCCAGACTCAAGACCTTACCTTTCGCCCGAACTCCATATTCATGCTCCTATTAGCAGTCAACTTCTTCCTTCACTTCCTTCACAGAAACCAGAAATGTGGCATTTCGGTAGCTTCGGCTTGCTTTGGAACCTCCTGCTTTTTTTCGCAGTGTGAAACTCATGTAGCTCTTGAAATCCTGCAAACTGGCTGTGTCTCGGTCAAGTCCCCTCCCCAGGATCCCAACGGACACTGTTCAGTGTTGCTCGAAGATTCTCAAAACCTGCGGGGCCCACGGGCCTCCTTCACAAGCTTGGGTGATCGATTTCCTCTAATTGGGGAGTCAAGCTTTGTCGTGAGACGCATCAACGAGCGGAGTTCTTGTGCCGAGCATCAGCTTCACTTCTCCACGAAGTTGGACAGTGAAAAGTGCAGCAAGGGCGCGACGGGTGGGATATCGTCCTAGTAACCCCAAAAGTGATATTGGATGATATTGGAATGCGATATCCGATAACCTATCTAATTAAGGACCCCTAGAGGGAGTAGTGAATACTATACCACTCCCAAACCGGAAATATCTCGCAATTCCCCTCCCTTCCCACCGCTTCCCTACCGGTCGCTGATGTTCTCGTGAAAACGAATCTGCGGAGCACTGGCCAGAGGAGCCTCCCTTGGGGCCCAAAGCGTGGTCCGTTGCTGTGCAAAGCAGCTGGGTGATTCAACCTTGCTAAAAGAAAAAGCCCAAGGGAGGCGCTATCTCCCGCTGAGAACTCAACGGTGAGTCTCTGGCTTCGATGCTGCTGGCAAAGTCAAGAAAGGCAGGATCTCTCGGGGCCTTTCATTCAAACGCAC